CATCAGATAGGTGCTTTAATTTCTAACCCTGTCACCAAATGTTAGAAAAATACTCCACTAACCTTATCTCCCCGCACAAACCCCTTATGGCTTTTATTCATAACCTCTCATTTTCTTTGGGCATCTCCACTCCTTGGGCATTTTGTGAATGGACCACTAAATATCCCACCCAGATAAGACATCTCATAACTAAAAAATGGGTGAAGCCTTTTGCACTACTGCAACAAGATAAAGAGTTGCCACAAACCGAACTCTTTCAATACCTAGAGATAAAACATTTTCTACAAACCTGAAGGATCCAGGATGCTCAAGTCCTTTAATTCCAAATATGCTTCAGCCCCCCATGTTCTTGGTCTGATTTTATTTCTCTATTCTATCTTAGAGCACCCTCTTCCCTTCAACTCCCCACTCTCACTCCAACATGGGTGTTAGATCTAGGTACAGAGTTAGATGACCATAACTGGACCCAAATTTGGAAAACAACTAAATAATTCTCCATCAACATTCTAACAGTGGAAACAATTTAGAGCGTCAGCACTTTTCCCATGTTTGGTGGACTTGCCCTGTAGTACACTATTTCTAGTAATATGGAAACCTTGTAAACATACAAGTACTGTTTGCGCTCAAAGTCACAACAAGAGACACGAGAGTCCATGAAGTTCATATACTGTATGATAGGCACAGGATAGTAAAAGGCAGGTGGACTAAAGACTCCGGCAGCTCCATGTAATGAGATCTGGGGGAGATCCCTCACATATATAGAAAAAAAAACATCAGGTACCAGGTCAAAGACAGATAAAAAGCACCAATTTTAATGTGAAGCTCACTTACATGTAAAACCAGAATGTTTAGCTCCGATGGCCAAAGATGAAGGCGGACAGTAGAGCAGAAGACAGCAGTCTCAATGGACCAATGATCGGCTGCAGGGGCATAGGCAAAATAAAACACCGAAATGGAAATGAATGGCAGCGTCTGTAGCCCTAGCTTAAGCCATTCAGTGAAAGTCATGGCAGGTATGAGTGGTGGGGGGGGGGGGGGTGCAACACATTTCCAAAGCCCCTCTGTCAAGCTGAACACTACAAAAATCATTTTTGTTTTCTTCAAACAACATCTTGCAAGCTAGCTGAATGCATTACCAAATTCTCTGTCCTTGGCATATTGTTGGCTTTATTATTGTTATGAACCATAATTTACCCAGACGTATATTTTTCTCTTTCTCGTCCCATCCACAACTCTTTCAATCTGCTCACCCATGAGTTCTTCTGTGACCTTTGATATTCACATAGCTGCTCTGACATTCATGGAGCTGCTCTGTGACCTCTGACATACATAAAGCTCCACTGTGACCTCTGAAACTCATGGAGCCCATCAGTGACCTCTGACATTTACTGAGATCCTCTGTAATCTGTGACATTCAAGGAGTTCCTCTATGACAGGCGATTTTCATGGAGCCTCTCTGTGATGTTCATAAAGTTCCTATTTGGTCTGTGGCATTAACAAATATCTTTATACATCTGACCTTTGTGGAACTTCTCAGTGATTGGTGACATTTACAAGGCTCTTCTGTGTCATCTGACATTTACAGACCTTCTTTATGACCTGTGACATTGATGGAGCTTCTCTGTGACCTCTGACATTTACAGAGCTTCTCTGGGACCTCTGACAATCATGGGAGTCCTCTGCTACCTCTGACATTTACAGAGCTTCAGTGGGACCTCTGACATTCATTAAGCTCCTCTGTGAACTGTGACATTGACAATGGAGCTCCTAGGTGACCTCTTACATATATCAAACTGCTCTGGGACCTCTGACATTAATGGAGCTCCACTGTGTCCTCTGACATTGACAGAGCTCCTCTGTGACCTCTGGCATTTAAAGAGCTTCTCTGAGGCCTCTCTCTGACAATCATGGCACTCCTCTGTGACCTCTGACATTTAGGGAGCCTCAATGTGACCTCTGTCATTCATGAAGTTACTCTGCGAACTGTGACATTGATGGAGCTCCTCTATGACCTATGAAATTCACAGAGCTCCTCTGTGACCTTCTACATATATCAAACTTTTCTGGGATCTCTGACATTCATGGAGTTACTTTGTGACCTCTGACATTGATGGAGATCCTTTGTGTCCTCTGGCATTTACAGAGCTTCTCTGGGACCTCTAAAATTTACAGAACTTCAGTGGGACCTCTGACATTCTGGCTCTCTTCCATGACCTCTAACTTTTACTGAGCTTCATAGGGACCTCTGACATTAATGAAATTCCTCTGTGAAATGTGACATTGATGGAGCTCCTCTATTACCTCTGAAATTCACTGAGCTCCTCTAGGACCTCTGGCATTTATGGAGCTTCAATGGGAATGCTACCATTCATGAAGTTCCTCTGGAAACTCTGCCATTTACAGATCGTTTCTGGGACCTCTGGAGCTGCTCTGGGACCTATGACATTCACAAAGCCCCTCTGTGACCTCTGACATATCTGGAACCTCTTGCATTCATGGAACTGCTCTGTAGCCTTCTGAGATTCACGAACCCCTCTGTGATTTGTTGCATTCATGAGTTTTTCTTTGACCTTTTACATTTTCAGAACTTTTTTGGGTCTGTGACATTCATGTAGATCTTCAGTAACATCTAACATTTGCAGACTTCCCCTGGGGTTTTTTATTTGTTTGACACTATGTGGTTTGTCATTCCAATTCCCCAATATTCTACATATATAAACAAATTTAGCAGCCTCTGTCAGCCACCATGGAAATAAAAGCAGGTTATTGTTTGGATTAATTCAGAACATATGTCAGATATGAAATTCTCTTATGAAATAAAATAGTCTTTTTTCTATTCACACACCTGGAAGATCAACCTTTTAAATGTGCCACTTATACTTAAATGCCATCTGTCTGGTGGCTTCTCAATCTTTATTTCTTTCATTGAATGTGTCTTTGATGTGAATTATTCCCATCCAACATCCCTTTGTTTACAATAATGAAATCTATTTTAATTAACACAATGATATGCCTTCTAATCTCCTTTACTAAATGTTGAATCATATAGTTTAAATATTTTATGAAAGCAGAAAGCATTTGCATCACTCAAACTAGACCTGTTTTTTAAATGGAAAAAAAAAAAATATTTGTGTTGTCTCACAGCTGTTAAGCTGTTACCCTGAACAAAGAGACATGTAGATATTAAAATCAGTTATCCATAGATATGGAATGACTGATACCTGGTTCAGCCCAGTGATTGAACAAGGGAAATAATAGTATGGCAATAGATGCAGTGAAACCTTTGCAGTCCTCCTATGGCAAATTATTTATATGGGATGGGGGTCAATGATTGATCAAACCGATAAGATAAGGACAGTGTTAGAGGCATATGCTTGGTGAAAATCTCCCTCTAAAATAACTTTGAATGTTTATAAAAAGGTCTTTTATCTTTAAGAGGTTTCTTTTAGTGGTCAGATATCACTTCTTATTAAAATTCACACAGAACTAACATTTAGTCTGTATACCAGATCAAAGCTTATTATGCAGATTAAATTCATTCTGAACAATTTTTTTTACTTCAAATGATTGTCCTAGTTGTGTTAAAAAGTGGAGAAGTGTAGCTTAATACTCCTGGGCCAGCCTTATCTGGGCAAAATTTTAGATTGGCACAACAGTTGCCCACTTAAACCAAGAACACATGGGCAAAGGGGTCTGCTGGTTCTTCTAGTCATATGTAATGCACAGCCAAGGTCAGGAACTAAAGCCTTTTGGTACTTGGATGCCCCAGGTTTTAAAACACGTAATATAGTTCTTAGCCATGTGTCACCAGGATTGAGTGAATTCGACAAAGAAGGGTAAATGTAAATCCGAGGCTGGTCAGGCAGTAAACAGTGGCTGATAATGGAATCCTGGGGCAGTCAAAAGGTCAGAACATATAGCAAGTAAGCATAGTCTAAAATAAATTTTGAGGTAAGAGCAAGTAGCAAACAAGCATAATCCAATGGGCAGTTCTGAGGTTAAAGCAGGAAGCAATCCAAACAAATAATTCAGGTACAAGGTAGGGGCTAGACATGAGAAATCCAACAACAACACAGCAGGGCACAACATGAGAAGAGGTAGGAAGCTGACACTATCCCAACCCCAGAGCTCTTGACTTGTGATGTTCAACTAGAGAGCCCAATCAACCCAACCAAACAAAATGAAGGGGGCAGGGCAGCCAGGGCCATTAGTTGCTTATCAGCCAGGATGCTGGCCATGGTCTCCTACCACTCTATCATTCAAACACTGCAGTCTCTGTCAGACTCTTCATCATATTTTGATACTTCCAAGAGTTTAGAATGTCTGTGTATCTTACTACTTGTTGTGGTTCCATCCTCTAACCCCTACATCAATACAGGATACAACAGAGACATAGGATTTAAAGGGTGTAAACTATTGCATGGCAGGGAACACAGGCATCTAATACTTTCAGAAGTATTGAATACCTAAGAGTCTGATAGAGGTGCAGCCCTGGAATAGAGTGGAGGAAGGAGATGTGGGCTGCCAGAGAGGTGAAGATAAGAGCTCTTCTACTGCAGGCAACTGTCACTTAGAAACCTGTATATATGCCCCTATTTTCCTTGAGTGCTCCTGTCAGGAATCTAGGAATGACCAAAAAGGTGTGGACTGACACAGGGAAATGCAGGTTTCAGGTATAGTATAATAATACAGTTTATTATTAGCCACCCAGATATATATATATATAAACGCACAGTGAACAAACCAACCTTCCACTAATCTTAGTAGGTGCAGGAACACAGGCGTAGTCAGGGCTGGAGAGGTGGAACGGTCAGGCCGGCCGTAGGGTTCTGTAATGACCGTTTGGTGGTACCTCTAGTGGTCCCCAGGACAGGATTCCCCAGGGCGCGGAGTCTAAGTCCCAGTCTGCTTATTCACCAGGGCCCCTGATGGTGGGGATGGACTTGGAGCAGACAGGAACCAGGTTGCGGCCCCTGAGTACACCTGCTAGTGGTAGAGGGATCCGCCAGAGGTATGTGCAGGTACGGCTGGATCAGTGCAGGATGGATGGATGGCAGAATAGTTAGCGTGGTCAGACGGGCCAAGTCAGCAACGTGCGGGCAGCAAGGTACCAAAGGAGCAGGCAGAGAATGGTCAAGGTCACAAGCCGGGTTCAGTAACTCACGGGCAGCGCGGTACAGGGGATCAGGCAGAAGGATGGTCAAGCAAGCCAGGGGTTCAACAGGAGACGGTCAGCAGAGGTCAGGATCAAGCCGGGTCAGCAACGAAGCAGGAACACAAGATACCAGGTACAGAGGCTCATGGGAAAACATACACCAAGGCCCAGATCACAGGCCTGGTCATGCCTCAAATACACCTTTCTGCAATCAGCCCCAGGTTTGGCTGATTGCACGTGTGAGCTTCTGGCTGCTGAGAGCACCCGCTGGTCAGCTCTGGTACTGCAGCCCACACGGCAGATGAGTCCCACCACCAGTGCTGAGTCCATTCCTGACAGCTCCAAAGGCCCTTAAAAAATGGGGAACTTGGTTATGCAAAAAATAAATAGGTCACCACTCAGTCTTACCTTTTCCACCTTTCTTTAATGGTCCAGGAAAGCCAAGGCTACACACAGACCAACAGGGAAGCTGTGATGGAAGTAGGGAGGTTGGAAACAAGCAGTATCTTTTGAGGTATACCAGTAATTTGTATTCTAAACAGCCCCAGATGCTGGAACTCTAGTATTGCTCTATAAGAAATATAAGATATGTGGACACTTGGAGATATGCAGCGTGTGGTTTTACAAGATTAATATGGTCGGGGGTACATTTTAGCCAGCTTGGTTGCTGGCAATTCTGATTTCTTTTGGATAACTATAGCCTTACCAAACTGGCCATTGGACCAAGGAGAACAGGGGGCCTAGCACTATTTCACAATCATAATGATTTTTCAGGACATTGACACTTCGCAAACAATAATAGTACATACATATCGATCATGCTTAGCAAAATTCTGTAAGAGCTGATAGTATGCTGTACCATCATTTATTGTATTTATAAAGACACAGGTCTCTGCAGTGAGGTTACCTTTAATATTAAAGACCAATTTTTATGATTTTATTACAGACAACCAACTGATATGCCGCAAGATGTAAACTGAATTAAACCAATAGATACAGTCTGATTTTCTCAAATTTACTGCTATTAACCCAGAAGCATGTAGTGAAGGCAAGGCAATAGTATTATGTCTTGGTCCGGTGTAGCTCTTGGCTCTATTCAGCAGAACACTGTTTTTAATGAAGGACAGATTGTAACCTAAAGCTTGGAGGGTAACAGCAGCTGTCAATCAATGGAGAGAGGTAGCAATAAAGCCTTAGGTGTATGAACAATTGGTCAGGGTGCGTGCCTTCCAACCACCCAGGGAGCTCCTTATAAATGCTGCTCTTCCCAGGTCACATACAGCTATAACAATTTGTTTAATACCAGTTTTAATGTAAAAAAATCAGTTTCAAACTTTGAAAATGACATAATATACAATGTTGGAGGGTATGTTGTTGCTGATATCTCTTACGCAGAGTGTGATGCAATCTCCTACTAAAATTAAATTAATTTCCACATTATTTTTCATTTTGGGTTCACATGTTTGACCTAGGGTTGCCATCTCATCCCTTTAAAGCAGAACACATATCAATTACACAGGTTCTGTGGCTGATTAAGGTGGTAATTAAACTCACTTAGCACATTATCTGCTTTAAATTATAAAAAAAAATAATAATATTATAATAAAATAATAATAAATTAGCCTTGGAACCTGTGTAATTAATAATAAGTGCTTGTTATTAAAGGGATGAGGTGGCAACCCTAGTTTGGACCTAACCTATCCCCCATGATTTGGAACACGCACTCAGCTGCAAGGGAATAAAGCACTGGTGATGCTGCAGCTCAAAATTAATTAAAGGCTTGTTCACACTAGCGGTTGAGGGGCAGTAAAACCCTGTGATTGAGCTCCTTCCAACCCTTCCCCCCTTTAGCTGTAGAGGTGGTAGCAGGTGGTATATACATGCTGTGGCCACGATGGCTTGCTTCATGGCGGTAGCAGGAATTTTACCCCCCGGCACCTGCTGACTGTGGCCCATTCAAGTGTGTGCACTGCATGGGTTGCAGTGCGCTAGTGTAAGATTCAAGGGGGTAATGCAGGTGGTGAGGCTATACGATGCCTTTTCAATACCTTTCACATGCTCTCTGAAGAGTGATCTGAACTCATATCACATTTCAGAGATCAAAGCACATGTGATCGAGCCCATAAAGGAAATTCAGAAGCCACATACCCTGAAATTATGTACTTTTTTTTTTTATAAAGCATTGACAATGTTAAGTCACTGCCTCACACTCAAAGGCAGAGATGTCAGCCTGCTGTGCACACTCATTCAGTTGGCCATTGTGGTGCTCTGCATTAGGTATGTTCAAACAAAAAACTTTGCAATATATTTATAAAAAATGATTTGCATATAAAATCTGTATACAGTGAGGCATTATGCCAAACATAGTAAAAATAGGTGTTGGGTTTATAGAATATAGGGAAGGTAATCGTTATGTACAATTATTTTGTTACGGACTGCTCCATAGATTTACTGTACTTTATAAATACTGGTTTGTATATTCCTGTTATGTTCTGCTTTATGTCCTGCGTGTCCCTGCCACATCATCAAGTCACATGCAAAAAGCCTAGGGGAATATTTGTTCATGGAGTGTATTAAATGTTTCAGAAAACTACATGAAAACAATATTGGTTCAAGATTGCACGGGAGAGCTGAGCTGAGTAAAAAAATTCCTGGGACATTAGTTTAATTAGAGCAGGATAGAAAGAGGTTTAGGTGATATAAATCGCATAAGAAGCTAATTAAAGTGATATTAACTGTTTTTTAACTGTTTTAAAACGGTAAAACCGCCGCCCTATAGCAGAAATACTGCTACAGGGCGGCAGGGGTGCGCAAAATCACGTACGTATATATATGTGATTTTGCATCTCTGGGTAGGCCCTGCCCGAGCCGTTATTGGCGGCCTCACCTGTCGGTTATTGGGTCCTGGTCGGTGATTCCCCGCCAAGTATCACCGACGGGGGAAAGACCTGTATGCAGGGGCGGACTGACAACTCATGGGGCCCCCGGGCAACAGGGGACCATGGGGCCCTTGTGTCCTTGTCCAAACTCAAAAAAGCCTATGAAAAAGGTACCAGGGGCATCTCATGGGGCCCCCTACTGACCCCGGGCCCTCGGGCAGTGCCCGAGTTTCCAAATGGTCAGTCCGCCCCGCCTGTATGTAAACAATACAGATCTCTCCCCTGTCAGCTCCTGCACACTGCTTTGCAATACAAAGCGATGTGCTTACACAGTAAAGCACACACAGCACACATAGTAAAACAGCACACAGTTAACCCATTGATAAACCCAGATCAGGGGCGAACTGACCATTTGCAAACTCAGGCATTTTGATTTTTTAAATTTTTTTACTCAAAATGTTTAATAGCAAAAAGTCAAAAATATTGCTTTTTTTCTCAAAATTGTTGGTCATTTTTTTCATAGTGCAAAAAATAAAAAGTGCAGAGGCAATCAAATACCACCAAAAGAAAGCTCTATTTGTGGGAAAGGGCGTACATTTCATTTGGGTGCAGCATTGCATAACTGCGCAATTTTCAGTTACAGTAATGGAGCTCCGTATTGCAAAAGATGGCCTGTCAGGAGGGGGGGGGGGGGGGGGGGTAAATCCCTCTGAAGGGCAAGTGGGAAGCATTTTTTTTTTCTAAATAACAAACATGTTATATCTACCTGCTCTGTAGAGTGGTTTTGCACAGAGCAGTCCCGGTCCTTCTCTTCTCGGGTCCCCGCTGGCATTCCAGGCTCCTCCCTCCTATAGAGTGCCCGCAAAGCAAGTAGCTTACTATGGGGGCACTCATGCAGGCAAGCTCCCAAGCTGTAGCTCAGCCCCTACCCTCTCTCTCCTCATTGGCTCACTGGCTGTGATTGACAGCAGTGGGAGCCAATGGTTGTCTCAGCCAATGAGGAGGGAGAGTCTCCGGAGAGCCGAGGCTCTCGTGTCAATCACTGTATCGCGATGGGGCTTAGGAAAGTAGTAGGGGGGCTTAGGGGGCTGCTGCATAGAATGCATGAAGGTAAAAACCCTTAAGCCTTTATAACCACTAATGTACCACAAGGATGTTAAAGTATGTTGCCTTAAAGTGGTATCAGGGCTCAGTCACACCAGAATGCGGTATGGGCAAACCTACGCTCCATGTATGTTTCCCGAACTGCATTCAAAATGCACTGAGTGTGCTATCTGCTGTGGGTGTCAATGTATTCCTACACCCCAAATACAGATGGCAAACACAGTACGTTTGCCTGCACCAAAACACATGGTACCACAGTACTATGTGATCTGGCGCAGTGCACTTTTTGGAAAGTATTGCATGCACTTCTTTTTGTGCAATCCAGTGCAATTTCAGCTCATTTTAATTAGTGGAGTGATGCTGGCGCAGTACAAATGAAGCCGAGGCCATCATGGAACCTGGCTATCACACATTGTGCAGTGATGGATAACACCTGGGACCAACCTGATTAACCAATTGGAGGATTATTGTTTTTTAGCTCCACCTGTTGCACTTCATACACTCATCAGCCACTTTATTAGGTACACCATGATAGTACTGGGTTGGACCCCCTTTTGCCTTCAGAACTGCCTTCATTCTTCATGGCATAGATTCAACAAGGTGTTGAAAACATTCCTCAGAGCTTTCGGTCCATATTCACGAGTTACTGTTGCTTTTCTATCATCCTGAACCAGTCTGCCCATTCCTCTCTGACATCAACAAGACATTTTCATCCACACAACTGCCACTCACTGTATATTTTCTCTTTTTTGGACCATTTTTTGTAAACCTTAGATATGGTTGTGCGTGAAAATTCCAGTAGATGAGCACTTTTTGAAATACTCAGACCCGCCGTCTAGCACCAACAACCATGCCACATTCAAAGTCACTTAAATCCCCTTTCTTCCCCAAGCTAATGCTTGGTTTGAACTTCAGCAAGACATCTTCACCATGTCTAGATGCCATGATACATTGAGTTGTTGCCATGTGATTGGCTATTTAGCAATTTGTGTTACATTTGAACATTTGTACCTAATAAAGTGGCCAGTTAATGTGTATATAAGGGCTATCAGTTCAATTTATTTTTGTTGCTGACATCTCACTGCCAGCCAGGATGGACCCACTGTTTCTGTTAAGTTAAGGTAGGTGTTTTACCCCCATAAGTATGTTGCTTTTTACTATTCCTGCTTTGGTCTTAATTGCATGACCAAGATATTTTTTTTTCTTTTGTATTACTCTTTATATAGCTTGGGTCTGGCCAACCCTTGCAGGACAGATGTACCCCCATACAGCATGGTTTTTTTGTGTGTAGTTCATTGCGGGACTCATATACTCTTTCCTGGTTTGGTATGAAATTCATATATGTGTATACGTATACTCTCTTTATGTGAGACTTTATCATTATACTTATGTCTTATAATATATATATATACAGTGGGGATCGAAAGTTTGGGCACCCCAGCTAAAAAATTTGTATTAATGTGCATAAAGAAGCCAAGGAAAGATGGAAAAATCTCCAAAAGGCATCAAATTACAGATTAGACATTCTTATAATATGTCAACAAAAGTTAGATTTTATTTCCATCATTTACACTTTCAAAATAACAGAAAACAAAAAAATGGTGTCTGCAAAAGTTTGGGCACCCTGCAGAATTTATAGCATGCACTGCCCCCCTTTGCAAAGCTGAGACCTGCCAGTGTCATGGATTGTTCTCAATCATCGTCTGGGAAGACCAGGTGATGTCAAGCTCAAAGGTTTTAAATGCCCAGACTCATCTGACCTTGCCCCAACAATCAGCACCATGGGTTCTTCTAAGCATTTGTCTAGAAAACTGAAACTGAAAATAGTCGACGCTCACAAAGCTGGAGAAGGCTATAAGAAGATAGAAAAAAGCGTTTTCAGATGTCAATATCCTCTGTTCGGAATGTAATTAAGAAATGGCAGTCATCAGGAACAGTGGAAGTTAAAGCAAGATCTGGAAGACCAAGAAAAATATCAGACAGAACAGCTCGCAGGATTGTGAGAAAAACAATTCAAAACCCACGTTTGACTGCACGATCCCTCCAGAAAGATCTGGCAGACACTGGAGTTGTGGTACACTATTCCACTATAAAGAGATACTTGTACAAATATGGTCTTCATGGAAGAGTCATCAGAAAAAAAAACCTCTTCTACGTCCTCACCACAAAAATCATCGTTTGAACTTTGCAAATGAACATATAGACAAGCCTGATGCATTTTGGAAAAAGTTCTGTGGACCGATGAGGTTAAAATTTAACTTTTTGGCCGGAATGAGCAAAGGTACGTTTGGAGAAGAAGGGGCACAGAATTTAATGAAAAGAACCTCTGTCCAACTGTTAAGCATGGGGTTGGATCAATCATGCTTTGGGGTTGTGTTGCAGCCAGTGGCACAGGGAACATCTCACGAGTAGAAGGAAAAATGGATTCAATAAAATTTCAGCAAATTTTGGATGGTAACTTGATGCCATCTGTGAAAAAGCTGAAGTTGAAGAGAGGATGGCTTCTACAAATGGATAATGATCCTAAACACACCTTGAAATCCACGGGGGATTACATCAAGAGGCGGAAACTGAAGGTTTTGCCATGGCCTTCACAATCTCCTGACCTCAACATAATTGAAAATCTATGGATAGACCTTAAAAGAGCAGTGCGTGACAGACAGCCCAGAAATCTCAAAGAACTGGAAGACTTTTGTAAGGAAGAATGGGCAAAGATACCTCAAACAAGAATTGAAAGACTCTTGGCTGGCTACAAAAAGCGTTTTTACAAGCTGTGATACTTGCCAAAGGGGGCAGTACAAGATATTAACTCTGCAGGGTGCCCAAACTTTTGCAGATGCCATTTTTTTGTTTTCTGTTATTTTGAAAGTGTAAATGATGGAAATAAAATCTAACTTTTGTTGACATATTATAAGAATGTCTCATCTGTAATTTGATGCCTTTTGGAGATTTTTCGATCTTTCCTTGGCTTCTTTATGCACATTAATACAAATTTTTAGCTGGGGGGTGCCCAAACTTTCGATCCCCACTGTATATATATATATATATATATATATATACTTATCTACCAATTCACTCATCCAACTTGTCTGTGTAGCCTGTGCTCACTGGTCTCTGTGGATAGATACAGCTGGGATGGGGTCTCTCATGATACTTACATATGATGATTGGATTATTGCAACTCAAGAAAACATCACTGGTACATCTGAGAAACATAACCATGACATGTTTGGTAAATATGGTATGCTATATTACTTAACTGTGCAAGGATTTGGCCTATGGATGCAGTATATCATCATTTTGATTACTTTATAGATTTTAAACCTTTGAACTTTGTGTACCACTGAGTAAGATGAAGACAAATATAGGACCCTGAAACGCGTTGGACTTATTCTGCCCCACCACCTAACATTCTGTGACTATTGGGCAGGACAGTATTTAGATTTTTTTTAGCCCATATGTGGGGCAGGCTATATACATAGGGTCTCTGTATATCTAGATACCTGTTTTTATGTAATTCATTTTCAAATGATGTGTACGTAATAAAAAATGTGGATTTTTTTTATACTTAATTTCATACTATTCTTGCCTGCACAAAGTCACTGGGGCTGTTCTCTCTTATGTAGTTGTATGGGAATGAAAAACCCCTTTGACATGAACAAAAGCTCATCCACACAGGTCCTAAGTCCTAAAGTTGTTATAGGTCAATAGTGTGGAAAACATTGAAACCGTAGCACCAGCATGACAGCCAAGTAGCATTTTAAGAAGAAAGGATATGCAGTGACATTCTACATATTTTATTGCAGGCTTTCTTTAAATTTCTAAAAAAAAAAAAAGGCCCTAAAATTGTTAACACTAATTAAAATGAACAGAGCTATTGTTTCTCTTAAAAACGGATTTATAAAATATTGTAGTGATTATACCTGTAAGCTTCTCTGGGATGGGGACTGATGTGAACAGTTTGGGGTTCTATGTAAAGCACTGTCAGATATGTAAGAGCTGTAGAAGTGGATAAGATAGCTGGATTATATGGGTTTGTATTTAAAGTAGAACTTTTTTTTTTTCAGTTGGTTTCCATGTCTAGGCAAATTATGTCATAAATTCGAGAAGTTTTCAGAAGAGGGAGGGTTCTCAGCTCAGCCAATGCTTGAGCAAAGG